ACCGTGTACGTGGTACATTCACAAACGTTTCGCCGGCATCCTAGTCGGCATCGTCAGTGAGTATCGCCATCCTTAGCACCATACTACAACTCGTCAAAGAGACAAGTGAAGCTGATCCCTTGAGCAAACGTGTGCTAAACAATTATGGTATCGCCCCTTCTTCCCTGGGTTATTCGCATTTCCGGCAGCATCCTATCATGCCTTCATTATTACAATTTTACCGTGCTAAGAATGGCGATACTCACTGACGATGCCGACTACGATGCCGGGAATGTACGTTTGGGAATGTACCACGTCCACTGTTAACTTTTGAAATGATCATGCAGACAATGGACTTCGAACTAGGTGCGTTCCAATAAGTCTTCCTACCAATATGACCATGTTGCGAAAACAAGGTCAAACGACCTCTATACAACGAAAAGATTCTGCGACCACACAAAAGGCCACACCATCTTGGTCTTCATACCAGAGCTTAAATAGCTTATGCCTCTCGGTATAATAACTTTCCTCTAATTTCTGCATAAAAGCGTGATAAGGAATTTCATTAACTGTGTCCAAATGACACTTCCTCATTCGATTGCAGAATCGGGGAGCGATACCATAATATTTGCAACAATTCAAAAAGGCTAAATAAAACGAAAGGAGACTGCGACCACACAAAATACCACACCATCTTGGTCTTCATACCTTCTATTTTATCCATATTTGATAAACTAGTGAGGTTCAAAGTCTTGATCTTTGTAAACTAAATTAAATGAAAAAAAGTTGCTTGACCTTTTTACGCAACTAGGCCAGATTGGTAGAAGGACCTAGAGGAGCGCACCTAGTATACATGATAATTTCCAGAGTTGGACCGTGGACGTGGTACATTCCCAGATTTTTTGAGGCATCGTAGTCGGCATTGTCAGTGAGCATTGCCATTCTTAACACCACACTACAACTTGTCAAAGAGGCGATCCTTTAACCAATTGTATGCTAAACAATCGTGGTATCATATGCGTGGTCCTTATAGCAAAGGCTTGACCATGAGTATTACTCGGGGTCTCTGACCTCAGGTTAGTCTCCCAAAGGAAGTGTCTGGGAAATAGCGCATCGAGTAACACAGATAGGTGGTATGTGTCGAATGAAATACTTGAACCAGGGAGATAGCAGAGGGATACTCTGATAAGACTTATGGAAGGAGGACTGCGTAACAATTGGTCAAATGATCGGCTTTACTTGTCTCTTTGACGAGTTGTATTGTGGTGCTAAGTATGGCAAGACTCTCTGACGATGCCGACTACGATGCAGGCGAAAGTCTGGGAATGTATCACGCCCACGATCCGACTCGGGAAATTATAATTCATACTATTTACTCCGGATTAGGTGTGTTCCTCTAGGTATTCTTATCAATATGACCATATTGCGAACACAATATAAAACAAATTCTATACATCGAAAGAGATTGAGACAATGAAAAAGGCCACAGCATCTTGGTCTTCTTACCTTAAATTAAATTAATCCCAGCTCTATTGAAATAAGTGATAGAAATTGCTATTTTGCTAAATATATTAAAATGAAACAAGTAGAACTGTTTTTATTTACAGCATGTCTTGAAAATTTAAAGATTTATTTATTCTTGTGTTAGGGTTTTAGTGTTGGTGGTGTTCCTCAGCTGTGTTATCACTCCTTGCCCCTATTGTTTGTCTTTCCTTCCAATAATACTTCTCTTTCTCTCAACTTTTTGCATATGGTCCATTTAAATATTTACACATTTCTAGGTAAATGGTTGGTATGAAGGGGGGTTGTGTGAGAGGGAAGCAACACCAGAAGCTATTACGAAAATATGAGAGAGGAGGGATACTACAACGGTTTTACAGAAAATTGGTCAATGGAATTGCGTTTACTGGTCACTGTGATAAGTTATAACTCTGTGCTAACTATGGCCGCTCTCACCGACGATGCCATTGACTATGCCGGCGACATGTCCGGGAATGTACCAAGTCAATGGCCCGATGCTGGAAATCATCATAAATTTGGCAGAGGACTGGATACACTCCACAAGGTCTCCCTTTTGCCCTGACGAGGTTGCAAAAACAAGGTCAAACCAACATATAGCTAAAGGGGACTGAGGCCAAACAAAAGGCCATACCATCTTGTTTTTCATTACTACATTTATTTATTTTAACATCGGTAGCGCTATAAAGTACGCCTCAATACTCAAAAGTCATAAGAAAAAATTTCGGAAATTGAATAGCTCTCAAAATTTACGCATATTAATTTTTAGGTGGATTACAATGCTCTTGTATCTTAGCGTGTCCAAAAATTGTATCTAGCATTTTTCAAGTAGGTAAAGGAATGGATGCGTACATTTTTAAATTAACTATTCTCGCTGAAGCAATAGGCTTTTAATGAATTTTCATAATTAGGAAAAATTTCTCAACCTCAATCTTCTTGGATCAATTGCGGGATAAAGCTTCAATAGATACTGTAAACTTTGATAAACTTTAAATGAAAAAAATGCAATGTTTATAAAGAATATCGTACAATTTTAGCAGTAGGGTCACATTTTACAGGACCTACTTCAATCATTTAATGTTTTTTGCATACTCTAGGACGATTCATGGTTGCATTTCTGATTTGCGTTACTCAGGTACTTTGGAGCAGGCATTCGTACTTCCAACTTACATTCAATCTCTTATCTGCACAATCAGCACGGATGTATACTTCTTGGATGCAAAGAATTACGAGCGCCTCGTAAACTCTAGAAGAAACACTGCTCGCTCACTAGATAATTACATTCAAAAATTAGCTGAAGTAAAATTGGCTACTGCTGTTGCTAGATCGATCGACAAACAGGCAAGCGGATCGAGTTTCGTGAATATGAATTAAAGCAGACTTAAAATGAAGGTTAAAAACTGAATTTAAAGCTTAGTTGACAATTTTATTTGCAACTCTAATTAGCAGTCTATTCAAGCAATGGATCAGAAATGCTTTCCTAATCTAAAAAATGCAACTTCGTTTCTTAGTACATTATAATTTGTCTATAGAGCAATTCCGCTATTTTAATATAGGTTCTCTAAGCATTTTCCATTTCCCATTAACTCTTAGTCAAGCGATACCTAATTCTTTGGTAATTTCATCCTTTTTCCTCTGGATTTACTCAGGAGTATCCATCAGCTGAATTTGAGAAGCATATTGACAACTTCAACATCGTTTGTGTTAATTGTTCTTGAGTCCTACTCATAAACCCATTCTCATCCAATGTGGACTACAGTTTCGACCTCGCAGTGTCGACATAAACTGATAATTATTGCGAGAATTGACTAATCATTGTAGAAAGTTAAAGTTTACTAATAAGTAATGCATTTAACTTACTTTAATCAACATTTATTTTAATTAATTTGAACAAAGGGCTAAAATGCTCGCATTAATCTCATTTTCCCTATCATTTGGTGAAACCCTTTAAGATGCTACTAATAGCATAAGTCTAGCTATTCCAGGTCGCATAAAATAGCGAAAGGCTGATAGTTGAATCTTCTAGCATGATACAAGTATGCCTCACGACGTCATTGAATTTTATTTATTCTTGCCTTCCATAATTTATTCTCACCCGGGGTGGACTGAAATATGGGTCTAATCAGTATTCCTTACAGGATTCGAACCAGATTAGTTCGGCCTATTTTTTTAACCTATTACTACTATGCCACATAGTCACGGATGTCAGTATTTCGCAGGTAAAACGTGACTTAAATCAAGCCAAGCCTAGTTGGATTGCAGATTAGTCAAATTTGCATTTTACCATTACAATCGACTAGATTGCTTAATCCACAATTAATAGGTTGTGGGACTATCAATAAATATTGAGTAAGAGCTACCTCTTCGCCCTTAATCACCATATATAATATATAGTGATGACAACTCCTATTCAAGATCTATTAATAGTCTCAAATCATACAAATGTGTTTATTGGAATTTAAAAAATTGTAATTGAAGCAAATCTAATAAATAAATTGCAGCCAACTACGCCAATTTTAAGAGGAAATCTGCTTTTTCGTCCAATTCCCAATCCTTTTCATAAGATTGGCAATGCTGCTTCTACTGTTACTGGGGTTTGTCAACCTGAGTAGAGGGCTTATCAAATTAATAGCATGTTTTCATTATCGAAATCAACACCAAATAAACAGTTAACCTTGTATTATGTTTAGGGCTAGCTTAAATGATATTTTGCTTCAGTTTATGAAGCTTCGAATAGCATACAGATTATGCATAGTTGAACTTTATTTTATTATACCGCATAGTGTATTAGCCTCTTTTTTCCATGTTTAAGGTTCCCTTATTACGGCGCCTCATCGGTATCTTGGGTGAGCATCAATGTCAACTTGAATATACAGGTTCTTCGATCCCGATAACCAGTAATTTAAGAAAAAATATGCCAAAACCCATCGTAAATAAATCTGTATCCCAAGCAAGGAGAGGTAACTCTTTAGCTTTAGGTCCAGGATCAGCGTCACAAAGTAATCGCAAAAAGGTAATCTCAATTTTATTTGCATAAACTGTTTTCATAATACGCACAAGCTAATATGGTCCATTTTAGATTAAACGACTGAAATTTTCAACCCCTAATAGTTAATTAACTTCAGAAAATTTTGATATACTTTTTTTAGAAGCCTACTGAAGACTATTTAAATTCGCCATATTGAATGGTCCTTTCGGTTATATTAACTATTTTTCACTGAAACGCTCTTTGGCACAATACCTTAGAAATCACTTGAACAATAGCCATTGGCTATGGATTATGCAAATATTCCCTCTCTGATTAACTTATAAGATAATAAAACTCAGACCGAAATATAACTGGATGTTAAATTAGAGTAAATAAATAGATAACCGGACTAAGAAAATCAAGTTTTAGTATAATCACTTCGAATTTGATTTAATCATACTTCCTTTATAGTTCAAAAATCTTTTATTTAACAATTAAAAGACATTAAATATCAATACAATGATCTTAAAAATATTTAAGTTTAGTGGTATCAAATAATTATAATACTTTTGATAAGCTTAAATAGGATATATGAAGACCACTAGGTACTGTCCTTTACTAAAGCTTGGTTGACTATCTCCAAAAAATTCACACCTTGCTCCTAACTTTTAGAAGTCAAAACAAGCTAATATTATGCGCAAAGCTATCTTCCCGACTAATATTAGACCCGGTACCTACGCCATGGACAATGGAGTAACGCGAATAGGCATATTTCAACGAGCCAAAAGTGATGCAATGTCTCAGTTGGTGGAAAGAAGAAAAGCAGAAAAAATAGGCAAGTAATTGCATAAACTAAGACAGCTTAAATTTTTTTTGAGCTTTATATATGAAATATTTTCATTTTCCATCTTACGAGCAAAAGATTAAGAAAGCATCCAAAGGACTTATTATACGTCTATTTTGAGTCATTATCTCTGAAAGCTCAACAGTTTCTGTTGATTCCATGAACTCTTAATTATAGGTCCCAAATGGTAACTCCTAGATAGTCTGGCCCCTATATATTCGTTTCAATCTCATTTCGCTTTATAGAAGCGTTACATATACTTACATCGTGACCTTATATCTCACTCCTTCTCTATCATAACTTATAACCTATTTATACTGGCCTACTCCAAAGGTGTACTCTTTTGAGCAAGCTTAGTGAGGCGTTGTCACACACTCTGCTGGGTTACTTTGCCCCACTCCCCTCTTAATGTCCCCGAGTTGCTGATCTGACTTGAGCCTTGCAATCTGCAAACTCTGTTATCCGAATCTCCCTCGTGTTCTAGAAAAGCCGTTCTATATTATACTATTTGACTAATTTAATTCGGTTCCAACCAATACGTCATTTTATATGGTCTGCCATAACCATCTAATCCCAAGCTTGTTGATTTGTCGTCGGATTTATCTTACCAACTTGACACTGCTTATATTTTGTTAGTTCGAAGCATGTTATAGGTTAGCCTAGTTGTCAGTTATTGTATTAGCTGTCTCTATAGTACAACACGTGTACTATGCACCAAATGAGAACCAATGTCTACGTTCTCTATATCATCTTAAATTGATCTGTATTCAAACTAACTTCGATATACCTTCAATAGAAACAAAGTTCTATGACGGTTGTGACTATTCATATCTCTAATCCCTCGTGTGCCATATCCTCCAAAATTGTTGTTGCTTCCTCAATCGTCTTATTGTAATTTCCGATTGTCCTTTACCCGTCTCTTCCAGACGATCATTTTCGCAGATCTTGCCGCTTCCCTGATCGGTCCGAGTAAGCAAAGTAATCCTTAATCATGCTTTGTTCCAATATCCTGTTCAATGAATTTCTTTCAGCAAAT